TTCCCTGCTTCTTTTTTGCCTTCTACTGAGCCACCATCCTTTCTTTTCTCTGCCCCTACCCCCTACTCTTCAACTTTATTATTTTCTTCATTTATACCCCAACTTTTCTTCACAATAGGCATCCAAAGCAGCTTACATCATTCTTCTCTCCTCCATTTTATCCTCACAACATTGTGAGATAAGTTAGGTTGAAAGACAGTGACTGGCCCAAGGCCACCTGGCAAGCTTACATGGCAAAGTGGGGATTTAAACTTGGGTCTCCCAGATCTTAGCTGGACACTCTATCCACTACACCACACTGGCTCACAGATTTCCCTTTCCCAAAACTCAGGTACTGCTATTATTATTTGGGGGGGGGGGATTAACATACCCATGTAGGGTTTTTTTTTAATGGATTTCAGATTTATCTGCAAACCAAGGACTTTTCTCAGGTTTGTAAAAAGATCTGTATTGTCTGTTCATGGCTCCAATTTCTGGATTTAAGTATCCACAGGCAGAGCCATATTGAGACCTGGATCATTTCCGCAGTAGTGAAATTCCCTGCATTGAAGTTTTTAAAACTGGACATTATGTGAAATTTTCTGCAGTAGTCCTCACCAGGCACAAACCCAAAGTTTTCTCCTTCTTACTGAGTGTATTTGGAACTTGCTAAAACGGAGGATTCCAAAAACGCAGGGCAAGGAGGAGTAAACTTTGGGTTTGTGCCTGATAAGGAAAACTCTACTGTGGAAAATGTCACATAATGTGCAGTTTTTAAAACATCAGTGTGGGGAATATCACTACTGCGGACATGGTCCTGCAGCAATTTGTAGGGCATCTCTTTTCCCCTTCCTCCATTATCTTATCTTTCTTTTCCCAGAAAGCCTTCATCGCCTCTCTCTTTTTCCTGCTTCCTTCTCTCCTTCCCACCTACCAGCTGACCTACCTTTATGTGCCCCCTGTCTTCAAGCTTCCCCTCCTTCTATTTCCCTGGCAGCCTCTTCTGGGGAAATTCTGTGATTCCAGCTGTTGGACTGGGCCACGTCCAGTTGTGCAGCGGAGAACGTGCAAGGATTTGTGGGTGGTACCTCACTTTTCCCTGCAACCCCTCCCCCACCATTTTCTCTTTTCCTATTCCTGGCAGCCCCCATAGCTTTATCTTTCCCTACATCCTTTTTTCCATCACACCCACAAACCAACCTCTTACCTGCACCCCATCTTCAGCTATATTTATTACTTATTTGCTTCATTTATACCCTTTCTCCACAATGTGGACCCAAAGCAGCCTACATCATTTTTCTCTCCTCCATTTTATCCTCACAACAATCCAGTGATATAGGTTAGGCTGAGAGAGTGACTGGTCCAAATTCACCTAGTAAGCACCATGGTAGAGTGGGGATTTGAACCTGTGTCTCCTATATCCTAGTCTGAAACTCTTTAACCACAGCTCCATACTGACTTTCATGCGGTGGCTAATGCTGAACAGTAGCAAGCAGCTTGGCATGGGTGACATGAAAGTCAGGTGGTAGCAAGTGTTCTAGTAGTTGCTGGCAGGCCTTGCCCTAATAAGTCTGCCCTCAAAGGTCAAAACAGCCCTGGAAAGGGACCTGCCCCCTCCTCCTGCCTTTTATAGACTGGAATCAATGCTTGAAGGATGGCAATACTGTTGTGGTTTCCTAGCAACTCCCACAATGACAACTGAAATCTCCCTTCTCAAAAATATAGGCTCTGCTATTATTATTTAGGAGGGAATCCAGGTTTTTCTGTAAACCTGGAGCTTTTCTCAGGTTTGTGGAATGATCTCTCTTGGCTGTCCACAGCCTCAGTCTCTGGATTTAAGTATCCACAGATGGGGCCCACACTGAGAATTAGATATATTATGCAATTACATAGCAACTTGGTTAGTAGAATGCAGGCCTCTGAACAGAAGCAAGCTTTCTGTACCAGCTTTGGTAGGAAGTAATTCATTCATAAGATGTTTGCATTCTACATGGCAGTTCAGTAGCGCTCCCAGAATACAATGGGGCTTCAGCAGAAGGCTGTCAAACAAAATTTATCAGTTTATTTTTGCAAAGACATTTCTACAATTTTCACTGTTATAAATTCAAGTTGAACACAATTTTATAACATGTCAAAGTGAAATGGCATTTGTACACTGAGCATATGTGCACTCTCATCAATGAAGCCAGTACACACTTTTATTCAAACAGCATAGTGAGATGGTGGCTTAACAGATCTGCTTGTTAATTATCTGTATACTTTTAGAGCTGACCACTCAGTTTGCTTTGAACTACAAACCATCAACATGCTGCAAGCTTTGATTTCTCTCAAGGTAAATTATCCAGAAGAGCTGAGAACTAATGGGATTATTGAACTAGGGAAAGTGTAATCTTGAAAAAAAATTCACTGTAGAACAAAAAGGCAGAATCTTTTGAAAAATGCAAACAAGCATTTGGCTTGTGTCGCTTTCCTAGAAATTATGTTGCGTCCTATAATGGTTTCTAATTTTCTACTAGCTAAACTGCTATCAGTGGTGCATTACTTTGATCAAAGTAATAGTGAGGTGAAACAAGGTCCTCTTCTATAGTATTTCATCTACCAAAACCTAACTAAACGAAACACTGATAAAGAGATTTAAATCTAGGGAACACCACAGCCTCTAAATGGAGGCAATATTTTTAAATACTACTACAAAACTTCAAGAAGCCATAAATAACGAAATAAAGTGCAATCCATGCATTTTTAAGCATTTAATGCAAAATGCTTGAGAACTGCCTTATGGTGATGTAACAATGTAACAGGTTGCTTTTGGTGGTACAGCAAAGCAGAAAGCAGCAACAGCAAACGCAGCCTTAAAAAGCTGACCTCTTAACAATCAAGACCCTTTCACCTTGTATGTGTAAGTGTGTGGAAGAAGAAAGTTGAACAGAAAATCACTTCCACCTTGACCACTGCTTCTCCTTATCTGTTAAAGGCACATATATCACTCCCATCAGAGGCTTCATTTTGACACTGCCATCTTCTAGCTTATCATACTGTTCCAGCATCTGGTTTCCTCCAGCAGGTCCAACAGGTAATATTAGCCTTCCACCAGGCTTCAAGTGATCTATAAGCTGTAATTTGAAAAAAAAAAAAGGTCAATTATTCAGTACATGTATTTTCATGAGAGGCTTGTTCAAGGTCACTTTGGCAATATTTTATTGTTGGTCATAATAAACAATGAGACAAATTGAGTATTAGTGAATACCAGTGTTCAAGTGCCCAGCAATGAACAAAGTCTTAAATCAAAAAAAGCTTTCAGTCATTTTTAACCACACAACATAATAAAGGGAGAAGCTCTGATCCATCAAGGGACATCCCCATGCAGAAATAAACGTGTGTACATGCAGATAAAAGGAGCTGCAGTGGCTCAAGTGGTTAAGACACTGAACTGCAGGCTGTGGAAGTTCAGTAGTTCAGCAGTTCGAGACCCGGGTGCCGCATGACGGAGTGAGCTCCCGTCTCTAGTTCCAGCTCCTGCCAACCTAGCAGTTCGAAAGCAAGAAATTGCAAGTAGATAATTACGTAGCACTTCAGTGGGAAGGTAACAGCGTTCCGTACGCCTTGGTGTTTAGTCATGCCGGCCACATGACCATTGAAACGTCTTCGGACAGTGCTGGCTCTTCGGCTTTGAAACAGAGATGAGCACCATAACCCTAGAGTCGGATTGGACTGGCTTTTGAGCAAGGGAACCTTTACCTTTACTTTACATGCAGATAATGTGGCTGCAAAGTTGCAGTTATTAACTTTTTATTCCCTGAGCTGCCCCTTGTTCCCCTCACCTCTACAAAGCTGCTGCTGCTGAGGGTCAGGGGACTCTCAAGAACCATACGCCACATGGCATTGAGGGCTGCCACTAAAAAGGGAATAGGTCAAAATCATGCCCCTCCCATATCTTGCACTTGTGTTCTCTTCAGGGAGCTTTCTCAATTTGCATTTGAGTATGTGGGGTATGGGTTTCTGCTAATTCCTCCTCCTTGCTGCAGCCTCCTGAGCCACACACTATACTGTTTCTGAGGGTCACCTTAGCAATAGCTGGCACACAAGGAAATGATGAGAAAAAATGGGGACAATTGCCTCCTGTGAGCTCCATTCATGGGAGCTTGTATCTAACCCATTATATAAGACTGCAACAGATAAATCTGCAGGTCTTGATTTAACATAGCAAGTTCAGATAACAGCACGTTTTGTTCCTGTTCTCAACCTCAAGATAACAATGTGAGGGAGAAAAAGGACCGCTTCAGAGGCAATTTAATATTTATACTTTTTGCACCTCACCATTGAAATATAATATTGTCTCAACTGACAATATAGGATTCCTTTTGATCATCCACATTATCTCTCAGCCAGGGATAACCAACAGAAACACACCATTCCTAATTCAGTATGCAGACAAGCTCTATATTTCCAGTTCCTACAGTTCTTGGAAACATGAGCTCAAACTGGCATAAAAGTCTAGTATCCCAAATCAAGTACTTCAATGGATTAAATAAAATTCAGTTAAAATAAACCCAGCTAGAGAACCCACCGTTTGTAGCAGGTTTAGGCTACCCTGCCTGCCATTATAACTTAAAAACATATTTCCGTTAAAAAAATGCATCATATACAAACAAAAGTCACTTACTGCTTGGGGTACAACTGGTGCGGCAGCTCCTACATGAATAGCATCATATGGAGCTTCTTCTGGATATCCCATTCTTCCATCCCCCACTGAAAGAAAAAAATGTTAATGGACAGTGACCAGCTGTCTTTAAGATATTATTGGTAGTTTGATTAAGGACTGAATTCATAGCTGAAATTCTAAACTTATCATTTTGCACATTGCTGGAAATGACACAACTATCCCACTACATTGCAATGGTATCCTCACCAGGGATTTCTACTAGGAACGAGTAACATGAATTCAAAGAAATGGATGGTCAACGAATATAGGCAGAAGTGCTTCTCTAAGACAGATGTACTGGAGCTGTTTGGTATAGCCCTACCCAATATGCAGTACTGCACACCTGTAAGGATTGGAATGCTACTATCACAATATTTTTGGAGTATTAAAAATGACAATATTCTACAATAGTTCTATGGCACATAAGCTACACAAGAGTCTAACATCTTCACAGCCAGTCTGAAGTCACAATGGAATTTTAGCCATTGCAATACATGACTTAGAGAATACATGCAATACATAAAGTTTAAAGGGACTGCAGGAGACAGCCCAAGGATCAGCTATGCCAGTGGGGAGCAGACTGTTCCTGCCTGTTCAGCTTGGGGCTGGCTTCTCATGCAGCCAGGTTTAAACTAGGCTGCAGAAGAAGCTAGCCCTAGAATCTGTGCTACCAGGAACAGATTCCTCCCTACAGGTTCCTGGGGCTTGCTTCTCCTGCACCCTGGTTTAAACCAGACTGCAGGAGAAGCAAGCCCAGCCAGGTTCTTCTGTGCCACTGGGAGCAATGTGCTCCATGCGCCACAGCAGCTCCTGGGGCTCGCTTCTCCTGCAGCCCAGTTTAAATTGGACTGCAGGAGAAGTGAGCCCAGCCAGGATTTGCTATGCCCACAGGGAGCAGATTGCTCCATGCTGGCTCAGCTTTGTGGTGGCTTTCTTTTTTACCTGTATTTTTCTTTGTGGGTCTACTGGACCTGGAAAAAAAATATCAGGATTTCCAAAAAATCCCGATTCTGAATACCGTACTGGTATTGGGATCCAGGATTTTTCAGAAATCCTGAAAGTTTTTCAGGTCCAAAAAAAAATTGCACGCCCCTACAGGGGACTAAAAGGTGAACTGTTTCTACTTCACTACCAAAACTCTCTGCGCTTCTGTTATTATCAGTTTTGACTGGTACACATTTAAGCCAGCTACCCAAGTGACCCCAAACCCTGGACAGCCATATATGAGGACAGACCCTGCACTCGCCAGAGTTGTGCAACTCACTGTATATGGAACAGCTTTGCCATTCAGATGCCATAATGAGGAAGGACCTGTACAGGTGAATAAGGCTAAGGCTGAATGTGGGAGGATTATATTGTTCCTGCCAACATCTTTCCACCAAAATCCAATGAACTCTTTGCAAAGAAAATGAACTGTAAAACCAGGACACAAGGTTGCAAATCTGAGCAAATTTAACTGAAAGTTGTGCAAAGGTTAAGTTCTTCTGCAAACTGAACAGAACAACAAAAACTCTTGAGGCATCTTAAAAACTAATATATATGTTGAGAGCCAGCATGGTGTTGCGGTGTAAGAGCTGGTCTAGGATCTGGAAAATCCAGATCTGAAACCCCACTCTAACCATGGAAGCTTATAGAGTGGACCTTGGGCCATTCACATGCTCTAAGGATAAAATGGAGAAAGAGAGAATTATGTAAGCAGGGATGGGACGAACCAAAAAATGAACCACGGTTTGAGCACGAACCAGGCCGGTTCATGGTTTGTTTCAAACCGGTTTGTTTGGTTGCATCATTCCTGAATCCAAAAATAAACTGCCTTTTTCCCATGGTGGTTCATCAGAGCTTCTCCAGACAGCCTGGCGCCAATTCAACCCATTCCTAGTAGGCAATGCTGGGGGTGGACTTGTGGAGAGCCCTAGAAACACCCATAGCAGTTGTCCATAACTTGATTGGCACCTCTGGGAGCCAACCTCGGAGCTCCCATCTGCTCTATGGGAGCATATACACCACACCTTGACTCAGCTGCTTTCACTTTGCAGGAGGAAGAAAGAGGAGCTGTGTGAGAGCGAGTTAGGAAGAACTGCTTGCTTCATGGCTGATTTAAGGGAAGGCAAGAGCTGAGCTTACCTGGGGGCATCTGCTTTGGGGGGCTATAACTCAGACATCCCAAATCCAATCTTAACCAAACTTGGAGGGCAGGTGGAGGGGACCCTGCTGAAGACTCTGTGAGTTCGGCATCTTTAATTCGCGAGGGGGCTGTCCTACCAACCTCCCAAACTCACAAACCAGTTCAGGAAACGGGAAAAGTTCGTGAAAGTTTGTGGTTCATGTAATCAAACGAACCACGAACCAACATGAGCCACCATTTTCCCAGTTCGTGCTCATTCCCTAGTTGTAAGCCATTTTCCCAGTTCGTGCTCATTCCCTAGTTGTAAGCCATTTTCAGTCCCCAAATCAATGTGCTATAAGCTTTCATGAGCCATGAAGTGCTCTATTCAGCTGGCACATATGCAATACTTGTGCATCTAACAAAGTGGGCTCTGGCTCACAAAAGCTCACATCAATTTTTTATTTTATTTAAATATTTATATCCTGTTTTGTCCCCAGTAGAGAGAAGACATTATTATTCCCTCCGCTATTTTATCCTCACAATCTTCTTGTGAGGTAGATTAGACCAAGCAAAAGTCAGTGGCCCAAGGTCACCTAGCAAGTTTCCACAGTAGAGTGGAGTTCTGAATCTGGTCTCCCAGATCTAGTCTGACACTCTAACCATTACATCACAGCTGGTTCTTTCAGTCTTGAAAGGTGCCAGTGCTCTCTTTCTTATTTTTGCTACAGTATATTAACATGGTTACCTCTCTGGAATTTGTACACTTGACACTTGGTCTTATGGCTTCAAGTTGTTGTTCAGTCGCACAGTCGAGTCCGACTCTTCGCGACCCCATGGACAATCTCCCGCCAGGCTCTCCTGTCTTCCGCCGTCCTCCGAAGTTGGTTCAATTTCATGTTCGTTGCATCGCTGACACTGTCTAACCATCTCATCCTTTGCCGTCCCCGTCTTCTTTGACCTTCAATCTTTCCCAGCATCAGGGTCTTTTCCAGTGAGTGCTCCCTTCTCATTTGGTGGCCAAAGTATTTGAGCTTCAGTTTCATTATCTGGCCTTCCAGGGAACAGTCAGGGTTGATTTCTTTGAGGATTGACTGATTTGTTCTTCTTGCAGTCCAAGGGACTCTCAAGAGTCTCCTCCAGCACCATAGTTCAAAAGAATCTATTCTTCGGCGCTCGGCCTTCCTTATAGTCCAACTCTCACAGCCATACATGACTACTGGGAATACCATTGCTTTGACCATGCGGACTTTTGTTGGCAGGGTGATGTCTCTACTTTTTATCATGCTGTTTAGGTTCGCCATCGCTTTCCTCCCAAGGAGCAGGCGTCTTTTAATTTCATGGCTGCAGTCACAGTCTGCGGTGATCTGGGATCCCAGGAACGTGAAGTCTGTCACTACTTCCACAGCTTCCCCTTCTATTTGCCAAGGAGTGATGGGGCCGGATGCCATGATCTTAGTTTTTTTGATGTTGAGCTTCAAGCCCACTTTTGCGCTCTCCTCTTTTACTCTGAGCAAGAGGCTCTTTAGATCCTCTTCACTTTCAGCCATTAGAGTGGTATCATCTGCATATCTGAGGTTGTTGATCTTTTCCCCAGCAATCTTAATTCCCGCTTGTGATTCATCCAGGCCAGCATTTCGCATGATGTACTCTGCATATATATTAAATAAGCAAGGCGACAATATACATCCTTGTCGTACTCCTTTTCCTATGCTGAACCAATCAGTTGTTCCATATCCGGTTCTAACTGTCGCTTCTTGGCCCTTATACAGGTTTCTCAAGAGACATGTGAGGTGGTCTGGTACTCCCATCTCTTTAAGGACCTGCCATAGTTTGTTGTGATCCACACAGTCAAAGGCTTTAGCATAGTCAATGAAGCAGAAGTAGATATTTTTCTGGTACTCTCTTGCTTTCTCCATAATCCAGCGAATGTTGGCAATATGATCTCTCGTTCCTCTACCTCTTCGAAACCCAGCTTGTACTTCTGGTAGTTCTCTATCCACGTACTGTTGAAGCCTAGCTTGTAGGATCTTGAGCATGACCTTGCTAGCGTGTGATATGAGTGCAATTGTGCGATAGTTTGAACATTCCTTGGCATTGCCCTTCTTTGGGATTGGAATGTATACTGACCTTTTCCAATCCTGTGGCCACTGTTGCGTTTTCCAAATTTGCTGGCAAATGGAGTGCAGAACTTTAACAGCATCATCTTCTAAGACTTTGAATAGCTCAGCTGGAATACCATCACCTCCACTAGCTTTGTTGTTAGCAATGCTTTCTAAGGCCCATTTAACTTCACATTCCAGGATGTCTGGCTCGAGGTCAGTGATTATACCGTCGTGGTTGTCAAGGACATCGAGGTCTTTCTTGTATAGTTCTTCTGTGTATTCTTGCCATCTTTTCCTAATCTCTTCTGCTTCTGTTAGGTCCCTACCGTTTTTGTCCTTTATCATGGCCAGCTTTGCATGGAACGCTCCCTTGATTTCTCCAACTTTCTTGAAGAGATCTCTAGTCCTTCCCATTCTATTGTTTTCTTCTATTACTTTGCACTGTTCATTCAGGAAGGCCTCCTTATCTCTCCTTGCTGTTCTCTGGAAATCTGCGTTCAGTTGGGTAAATCTTTCCTTTTCGCCTTTGCCTTTCGCTTTCCTTCTTTCCTCTGCTATTTGTAAAGCCTCATCAGAAAGCCACTTTGCTTTCTTACATTTCTTTTTCTTTGGGATGGTGGTGATTGCTGCCTCCTGTACGATGTCACGAACCTCTGTCCATAGTTCTTCAGGCACTCTATCTATCAAATCCAGACCCTTGAATCTATTCTTCACCTCTACTGTATATTCATCAGGGATGCGATCTAGGTCAAACCTGAATGGCCTCGTGGTTTTCCCAATTTTCTTCAGTTTAAGTCTGAATTTTGCAATGAGTAGCTCATGATCTGAACCACAGTCAGCTCCAGGTCTTGTTTTTACTGACTGGATAGAGCTTCTCCATCTTTGACTGCAAATTATATAGTCAATCTGATTTCGGTGTTGCCCATCTGGTGATGTCCATGTGTAGAGTCGCCTCTTAGGTTGTTGGAAAAGGGTGTTCGCTATGACCAGTGTGTTCTCTTGACAAAACTCTGTTAACCTTTGCCCTGCTTCATTTTGCTTTCCAAGGCCAAACTTGTCTGTTATTCCAGTTACCTTTTGACTTCCTACTTTAGCATTCCAGTCCCCTATGATGATGAGGACATCATTTTTTGGTGTTAGTTCTAGGAGGTGTTGTAGGTCTTCATAGAACCGGTCCACTTCAGCCTCTTCTGCATCAGTGGTTGGGGCATACACTTGAATTACTGTGATGTTGAATGGTTTGCCTTGGAATCGGACAGAAATCATTCTGTCATTTTTGAGATTGTATCCCAGTACTGCCTTTTGCACTCTCTTGTTGACTATAAAGGCCACACCATTTTTTCTACGAGATTCCTGGCCACAGTAGTAGATATAATGGTCTTCTGAGTTAAATTCGCCCATTCCTGTCCACTTTAGTTCACTGATTCCTAGGATATCGATGTTCAGTCTTGCCATCTCATTTTTGACCACGTCAAGCTTACCTTGATTCATAGATCTTACATTCCAGGTTCCTATGTAGTATTGTTCTTTGCAGCATCGGACTTTCCTTTCACCATCAGACACATCCACAACTGAGGGTCCTTTCGGCTTTGGCCCAGCCGCTTCACTCTTTCTGGGGTTACTTGTACTTGCCCTCTGCTCTTCCTCAGTAGCATATTGGACACCTTCCGACCTGAGGGGCTCATCTTCCAGCGTCATATCTTTTAGCCTTTTGATACTGTCCATGGGGTTTTCTTGGCAAAAATACTGGAGTGGGTTGCCATTTCCTTCTCCAGGTGGATCACGCTTGGTCTGAGTTCTCTGCTGTGGCCTGTCCGTCTTGGGTGGCCCTTCACGGCATAGCCCACAGCTTCATTGAACTGCGCAAGCCCCCTCGCCACGACAAGGCAGTGATAATTAGAAGTCTGCATAAAGCAACCATAATTCTATACTTCTTAAACTCTAAACTTCTTAAACTCTAGTACTCACCAATCAGCTTCACTCTTCCTGAAGATTGCAATGAAGGATCATCTTTTCTGACATTATTTATTGATTCATCTACCAATTCTTTGATATGATCAATTCCTACAACTCGTCCTTTGGGACCAACCTGTAACAAAAATCAATTGATGTACTGAGTTACCAAACCTGACTTTTTCAGTAAGTTACAAGGAATGAGTTACAAGGAGATATAACCTAATGCAGGGGATCTATTAGTCTGTTTCTCATATGTAACCAGCATAAGCATTATACCTAGGGGTATGATGGTAAGATTTTAATAACTGGCCCTCGGTGTGTGTGTGTGTGTGTGTATGACTTTATTATAAATTATTATAAATTTTACTGATAAAAAGGATTTGTAGCACACAAATAATAATAAAATATCCAATACTGTTCAAACAAATTATGTGTGTGCTACAAATCCAAATCTTAGACCATGTTTGAACAATGCTCCTTAACTTCAAAATAAACTTAAGTTTTTCATAAAATACTATAACATTTCTTCACTCCTTGGCTAAAGTAAAAATTCAAGTTTCTAGCCCAAACAGAGCACCTAACAATAGTATTAAAACCCGAGCTTAGATCAAAGACCTTGCATTTCTTTATTTTAAACATCCCTCTTTTCTCCCCAATGGGGTCCCAAAGCAGATTACAGTATTATTTTTCCTCCTCCATTTTAACTTAACAACAACCCGGTAGGGTAGGGTAGGTTCAGAGAGAATGACTGGCCCAAGGTCCATGGCCAAGTGAATACTCCAACGTGGGTCTCCCAGAGCAACAATTGTAAAGCAAGAAATTCCTGTTGCTCTGGAGTTTGAAGGGAGGGGATCCACAGAATGTATTCACAACCAACACATTTATTGTCAAGAATTTGTATTTTCTCAGCACAAAACCCTTACCATATTGCTATGAAGTAGTCCTACTACTCCTGCAGCAAAACAGTTAATGATGAAATTATGTTTTCCTTTGTAATAATGATAGCTAACTTATGCTGCTGCATTTGCCCTATTTTAGACTGTATGCTCCTATTTTAAAGGGGAGAAATCTGTGTGGGTTGTTGCCTTAAGCACATACCCCCATGTCTGGAGAAGAGTAGAAGGGAGGCACAGGCACCCAACTCCACCCTGAGCCCTGTGGGGCTGGCAAGGAGAAACATGGGCACACCAGCCCCTGGATTCACTTTGCTGACATGCACCTGGTGCCATAGGTGAGAATGAGTGCCCAGCTTTGCCCTGTTCTGGCCCACCCCTACAAGGAAGAATACAGCAGCACCTGCTTTCTCTCCAGCCCTCCATCAGTGAGAGGAATGAGGGGGCAGGAGCCGTTTCTAGGTCTATTTACTTATTTGATTTTTAATCACCACTCACCCAAAGGGTCTTGCGGTGACTTACAACATTAAACCCAATAAGGTAAAACAACATACATACAAACAAATAACAAATATAAAATATTAACATTGAATTATCAAAATGTGGCTATCACCATATCACTATTAAAACAGCCCAAACACGTGGTTACCCTCCAAAGGTCAACCTAAATAAATCAACTTTTCATGCCCTGCAGAAACTAAAGTCCAGCAAGGCAACAGGTGTCATCCAAGACTGTATTCCACAGAGTAGGGGCCACAACTGAGAAGTCCCTTCCCTTGACATTCTGGAGCCAGGCACCTGCAAGAAGACCCTAGATGATGACTGAAGACAGTGCAAGGGGTTGTAACAGGAGAGGCGGTCCCATAGATATGAGGGTCCCAGACCACTGAGGACTCTGAAGGTTAATACCAACATCTTGAATTGGATCCAGAGATTGACCATGATGTTCCAGACAGTAACGTGGCAGCTGCATTCTGGACCACCTACAATTTCTGAAGTGTTTTCAAGGGTAGCCCTATGTACGAACTACAGTAGTCCAATCTGGAGGTGACTGCTGCATGGATCATTGTGGCAGTCTGACCCAGTCAAATATGGAGCCAGCTAGCAGCCCTGGCACAGGCAAAAAAATGCTGACCGCACTACCACGGACACTTGTTTATCCAATGATAGTGCGGAATCCAACCACACCCAGAGGCTCTGTGCAGAATCAACAGCTGTCAACTGGACACCACTGGGTTTTGGGAGTGACCCTCCAGCTGGCATTTGTGTCTTTTCCAGCCATGTGGCTTCCATCTTGAATGGATTCAACTTCAGCCAGCTCCCCCATAACCATTGGACTACTGCATCCAGACACTGGGATTGTGCTGAAAGCCCTGCTGCCAGCTGCTTATCCAGCAGGAGGAAGAGCTGAGTGTCAACAGCATATTGATGGCACCCAACTCCAAACCTCCTGAAGATCTTGGCAAGAGGGTGCATATATATGTTAAATAACATCGGAGAGAGGATTTCAGGTTTCATTGAGTGGAATTCTCCACCCCGATAGCGATCCTCTGAGTGTCCCTGGAGAAACGAGAAGAACCAACTAAGGGCAATGCCCTTTTCCTCCAAGGAGGCAAGGCGATTGATCAGGACCAAGTCAACTGTATCAAAGGCCACTGATTGATCCAGAAGGATCAACAGGGCCAGCATGCCTTTATCCAGATGTAAATGGAGATCATCAACCAAAGCAACTAGTGCTGTCTTCGTCCCAAAGCCATGCCTGAAGCCCAACTGAAAAGGGTCCAGGGAAGATGTTTCATCCAGGAAAACCTGGAGCTGCTTGGCCACTGCTTACCTAATTACCTTCCCCAGAAAAGGTAGATTAGACACTGGGCGGTAATTGGCTAGCTCCTTTTATCTAAGAGTGGTTTCTTTAACAAAGGTCTAAAACTAACAATCACCTTCTTAAGGGAGCTAGGGGAACAGTCCTGTGAGACAGACAAATTAATAATCTTACCACTTCTTGGCGTGATTTTATCAGCCACAGGGGACAAGGATCCAAACAGCAGGTAGTTGGCTTCACAACTGTCAGTATCCTCAAGGGTAAGCAGGCCAAAATTGTCCAAAGAAGAACCAGATGGTGCAAGTGAAACCCCTATCCCACTACTGTTATCAAATTTAGCAGCCAATTCCAGGCAGAACTTAGAGACTTTATCCACAAAAAAGTTTGCAAATGAATCACAGCAGAGGGTCAAATTAGTATGACTTTTACTAGAGGGGTGGTCAACTGTTGAACCAATCTGAATAATTGAACTAGCTGAGCTAGCAGATACAATGGAGGCAGCAAAATAATCTCTTTCCGCCGCTTTCATTGCCACCTCATAGGCCTTCAATTGAGCTCTATAGTGTGTTCTCACAGCTTCGTCCTGTGTTCGTCACCAATTCCACTCTCACCATCTGAGCAACTCTCATTATACCAAGGAGCCACAGAGACACGAGAGCTTCCTGAAGAACTCTGTTCCAAATCTCAGTTCATCAAGGGAACTCCCAGCAGGTCCAGATAAATCCTGCAGAGCATTTTGGAAACCATCAGGATCCAAATACGCTCATTGCCCCTGCAAGAGAGAATGGCCACCCTCAAACCGACCTTTATGAGGAAGTGGTCTGACCATGGCATCAGTTCACAAACAACCACACTATTCAGATCAAGCCCTGCGTGAAAGATCAAATCTAGTGTGTGGCCTGCTTCATACATGGGGGTCGATACAACCTGGGAGAGTCTCAGTGTTGCCACGGTAGCCATGAAGTCTGAGGTTGCACCAAGTAAGGAAGTCTCTGCATAGAAGTTAGTCCCCCAAGTTCAACAGTCTAAGGAAATGCAGTCAGCCAGTACCTCTGATAGTCTCAGAAGAGAGTTTACTAGTGAACTGGGCAAATGGTACACCAGCAGCCCTCTCATCCGGTCTCATTCAAGGCATGTGATGTTTGGCACAAAGATCCTCTGGAAGAGGCTCACCACTCCGTTCCCCCCCCCCGCCCCTCAATTCGATGCTGATGGAGAATCAAGTATCCTGGCAGAGTCAGTTGAGTGACGAGAATTACGTCATACTCACCCACCCAGGTCTCAGTCAAGCATGCCAGGTCAAAGCATCCCTCCAGGATAGTCTCCTGGAGAATGGTGGTTTTATTTCTTACTAACCTGGCATTACACAGCATAAAGGTCAAAGAGAAGGGAATTAACTGTGCCTGTACACCGCCATTCCTTGGGATGGGACAGAGATTAGAAGGAGTCTGACCATTTCCTTATCTCATCACCCTTCGTGAGACAGATGTCCTCCCACTACCATACCTCCCTCCCCCACATCTTACAGGAATAGTCTGGCTAGCAGGATACAACACAGGCAGCAAGGAAGCACTGCTGGACACCTGTGTGTTCCTCCACCCAAGGTTCCAAGACTATCCAAGTCCCCTATGGAGTCTACAAAAATATTTTTGAGAGAAGACACTTGATGTGGGTTGGGAGAGTTATCCACTACCTTCTGTGTCAAAAGTTCTGTTGCTCCCAATTCAAAATCCTCAACGCAACAGTTGAGGATTATGTCACTTCCCTCACCTCTATTAGGGGGATGGGTATAAGTATATTCATTGGGTGGAGGAAGCACATTGTCTACAGGAGGGGCCCTCTGGAGGGTTGAATAAATCAGAGGAAGGTTGGGCTAGATTTGGCTTTACCAACACTAGCTCGCATCCACCATTCAAGGGAGATCTGGGGCATTAATGCTGAGTAAACCTTCTTAATTACCAGATATCTACACCTCAGTTGATCCAAACTATCTGCGATTGCTGTCTGCTATGAAGCTGCGAGAGCAACAAAAGAACTTATTAAGTCCTTCTCCAGAATATCATTAAAAGGAGAGCTCTCTACATTGTTTTCAGCATTGGTCTCCAGGCAAACAGGAGGGTCATCCGACCAATTAGCTCACGGTGTGAAATTTTTGCTGGTCCTCCCATCTGGTGCTTATCATTGGCTGCAAGACTGAAGAGGTGTGAAGTTTTCTGGTTAAAAAGAGGAGATTGTCTTGTGTTCATAAAAACCCATGTTGGGAAAATTCCCTTTCAATTTAGGAAGCCTTTCCATCAGATTAATAGCAAGAGGACAGCTGGGCAGTCAAATGTTAATAATACTCTACAAGCCTGGCAAGAGCAATTGAGGAGTTCAACTGATTTCAACTTAAAATACCTAATTCAGTTGCCAAACAAA